TCTCACCCTCCCTCTCCACTGTTTCCTACCCTCTCTGCACTGATTCCTACTTCCTCTCCAATAATTTCACGCCCTTCCTCTTTCCCTTTCACAGAGCAATGGCAAAAGATGCTTTTGAGCAAACCCCGCCTGTCCTACCCAAGGGCAAAGGCTGCTCTCTTACCTTGCGCTCAAACTCCTCCTGGCGTCGCAGGACATCCTGACAGTAGCTCTCGATGGTCCTGCGTCTGTGTTTCTCTTGCTCTCGGGCAGCCTGCTGCTTCTCCCTCATCTCCTCAGCCTAACAAGTGAACACACACAGGACTGCAGCCTACTAGGCCTGCAGCCTAAGGGAGGGATGAAAGAGCAAGAGTAACAGGGAGCAGGTGACAGAGGGAGAAAACAGTGTGACATGGCCCAGGTGGGAGGAGCAGGGATACAGAGAGAGAGAAGATTCGACAGCAAGAGATAAGGGGTTTGAGAGAACGAAAAAGACAAAGAGATAAAGGAAGAGAAAGCATGGTGGAGACTAAAAAAAGGAAGCTGAGAGAGAATGTATTCTTTGCAGAGGGAACCACTTAAGATCGGAGGGGAAAAGAAGACAAGGTCCTGGGATGCTCCATCATTTAAAGGGCAGCAAAAGAGACTGGAAAGGAAGGAAAAAAAAGGAAGGAAAGAAGGACATCCAGGAGAGTAAGGTGACAGGAAAGTCAAAGTGAGAGTGTTTCAAAGAAAGCATGGTCTCAAATGCCGAGGATGTGGATGAGGGAAGAAAACCATCCATGAGTCTGATGTCAGAGAATGTGCTGCTGAGGCTGCCAGGGGTTGGTTGCTCCAGTGGAGCAGTGGGAACATAAGCCAGACAGCAGTGGACTGGGAGGTGAGCAAATGGACACACTAAATCAAGTATCAAGGCAACCGCCCTCCCCTCCCCCTTCACAAGCAGCCTCAACAACCCTAACAATTCGGGCCTTTGCCTTTCCATTCAACACTTCTGTGGACCTGGCAGTCAAGCTAGGCCCTCTCTCTCCTCCAAGGTAAAGGGCTTACCCTCTTCTTCTTTAATTCAGCTTCTCGATTGGCATGATCATTGGAGTGAACAAATTGGGGAGCGGAGGCCACTTTGGAGGCTGCTTTCTTCCCATTCTGCTTTGCAGGCTGATCACCACACAAGAGGGAAAAAAAAGTGAACAAAGCTAATAACCCCATGGAAATCACCCTTCCCAGGGGTTAAAGCTGGTCAGAAGTGTATTTGTTGGTGGAAAGAGAGAAGCAAAAAACAAAGAGGGGAAGAGCTCTGTCCCCAGAGGTCTGCCCATATGGCTAAGAGAGACTCTTCCTCCCCTAGCCAGGCAGGGACTGAGTGAAGAACCCCAGAAAAGGTGGGGGGTAACTGGAAAGGTTTCCCAAGTAAAGGTCAAGGGAGATGCTAAGTAGCTCTCCAAGTGTGGCCCTAACAGCAGCAGCATCACTTGGGAACTTGTTAGAAATACCAATTATCAGTTTCTGAATCAGAAACTCAGAGATAGGGCCCAGCTATCAGTGTTTTAATTCTGGAGGGCTAGTGAAAGTTGGAGAGCTTTATCCAAGCTAAAATTTGAGAACTGGCCCAAGTCCTACTTGTCCACACCTTTCCCAGCAGGACAAGGAGATCCAGGAGCTGGGGCCAAAGATTATGTCTGAGCCTCCCTCCTCTCCATGAGCAATAGGGACTTGGGAATCACAGACACTCAAGTCCCAGCTGTGCTACTTTGAACCTAGAACTTTCTGAGGCTCAGTTTCTTCATCTAAAAAATGGGACAATAACAATCCCTACCAAGGGAAATCAAACACAAAGCAATGTACAGTTTGTGGTGGGAACTTAATAAATGCTGCTGAAGCCACCCAGAGAGGGAGGAAAAGACAGATTCGCTGATTCTAATATGGTGATCTGTCTGGAGTCACCCAATATCTACTGGGTTTTGTGGGCCTCTTCTAGGTCAGGCAACCTATCCCCAACATTTGGTATAACTTATCTGAGGGTGGAGCCAACTTACCTTCTTGCATCCTTTGGAAACTTTACCTGGCTTTTTATTTTCTACAAAAAAAAAAAAGCCATCATTCACCTACCCAACATTTGTCGACACCTTAATCAAGGTCAGGCCACACTGGGAATCTAAGGACACCTCCAACACTATGTCTGTCTAGGCCTAACACAAGACAGACATGGAGCTGGCAGCAACAGTATCAGAGGAGGTCCTGGATATAATGCTTAGGGCATCATTCAGTGCAAACTGAAGCAATCCTTAAGGGGCTCCAGTGAAGAGTGACTTGAATGTGCACTCCTGGCTCCTCACCCCCACTACACGCAAATTCTGGCTAGGGCAGCTCACCAGATTTGGTACCAGGCTGAAGTGGGGGGGGCTGGCAGCATGGAAAGGTGATCTGAGGAGTCCCAGCTGGCTAAGCCAGGGTAGATACCCTCCGCACATGGGGAGAGAACAGTCTCTTCCTGCTGACTCTGCTCATGCCATTGCATCCAAAGGGACTTGCCCTACTCAGCTAAACTGCAGCTTCCCTTTGATACAAGGAAGACACGGTTCACCTTCTCCAATCACAACTTAACAAAGCCCAGGAACTTAAGAGGCCTCCCTGCCTTCAATGAGACGTCCTATCTGTCATCCCTTCACAGCTGGCTTCTTGGAAAGAAAGGCTTCCCTTAATTCTCACCACTTGCAAAGTAACTAAAGGAATTCCTAAAGGGGAAGGTTTGGGAAGGTCAGGATATAAACTACAAACAAATATAGGAGAAACTTGAGATTACCAGACAGAGAACAGGCTCCCCAGTCACATTAGGTGGTTCACGCGAAAGCAGAGTTTGAGGAGGAAACAGAATTTAAACACTACTGCAAATTCTTTTTTTTCCTTTTTCAGTTTTATTAGGTAGAATTATTACAGTTCGACTGCACATACATATTATGTTACTGCAAATTCTTAACGAGATTCAAGAATATATTTCAGATGAACTCCATGAGAAAGATTCCCAAAACTTGATATTGAATAAAAACTCAATCAATGTAGTGAAAAACAGAACAGACATCACTAACAACCAAATTAATAAGCTAGATCAAGTGAAGAGCTTGCTTAAAACAGAACAAAAATCCAACAAAATGGAAATTATGAGTAAAAAGAGAAAATGGAGAATGGACCCAGGAGAGATAATATCTAAAAAACAGGAGATCCTGAAAGAAATAAGTACAAATGGAGAAGCAATTATTTTTTAAAATAATAGATGAAAGTTCCCGGAGTTGGAAACAGACTTGAGGTTTCAAATAAGAAAGACTCACAGAATATTGATATTAACAAAAAAAGATACCCTGAGCACACCCTGACGAAATTTCTGAACTCCAAGGATAAAGAGGAAAACTTACATAAACTTCCAAACAGAAGGCGTTTCCAACAAAGGTGAGGGAAGCAGACAGCCTTCTCAAATCTACAACTCTGAACACCTAAGACATAAGAATAACCTTTACACCAGAGAGGGTATAGCTCAGTGGTAGAATGCGTGCCTAGCATGCACAAGGTCCTGGGTTCAATCCTCAGTACCTCCATTAAAGACAAATAAGTTTTAAAAACCTAATTACCTTCCCAACCCACACAAAAAAAAGAATAACCATTACGTAAGTACTGAGACAAGGGACAGGACGGTGCCAAGCTAAATTCCCACAACTGACCAATAGATCACTCCTATGTAAAGGTAAAAGACAGATATTTTCAGATGTGCAAGATTACCACTTGTGTTCCCCTTCTGGTAAAACTACTTGGGGATGTATACCAGCAGAAATAAAAATTAAATCAGAATAAAGATCTCAAGTTCAAGGAAACAAATAATGGTAGGCAGGAAGTCCATTGAAACTTACCATTAAATCTAAAATAATGCTAATGCTAGTAACGTCTATAATACATACTAAGAAAGGATTTTTAAAACCCAGGAAGCATATAAGGAAACAGCTCCGAACTGAAAGATCAAATTGTTTCAAAAACATCCTTGGCTAAAAAAACTTGTTTCTCCAATTTTGTTCAGATCTCCAGTTTCATTTTACCTTATTTACTACCACTACTACGACTACTACTACTATTATTATTATTACAGAGATGAGCTGCAAAAAAATTACTTCAATTTCAATAAAACCCAGAAGTCAAGCAACAGGGGCTGGAAAAGCAAAAGCATAAAATCATGTGAAAGGTCTCACTTTGGAAGAGTAGGCTAAAAATAGTTATGATTTAACTTTGGTAAAGTGATAGAGAAATCTAGTGATAGAGAAATCTAGTTTGATATAAATATGAGTGCAATTATCAACATAATTTTAATTACTGGTAGAGGACTTCTTTTAAAAAATTTGATCAACTTTTTTAAAAGTAAATAAATAAGAGAATGAAAAGAAATAAACAAAAATATATAAAATAAGATTGTAGAAATTAGACCAAACATATTAGTTATCATAATGAATGTGAATGGGTCAAATTTCCCTGTAACCAAAAAAAAAAAAAAGACAGCTCCCAAATCTCCTTTTCTTCCAAAGTACTCCTGTTGCAATGAAAAGAATGTGAGGTTTGGAATGAACCAGGTCTGGCCATTTTACTCAACAATTTCCACCTTCCTAACTTCCCTGGAAAATGAGGGCCTGCACTGGATCCAGGCACAAGATGAAAGAAAATACATCACTTAGAGAGGTGGGAAACCATCTGCTTCAGAGAGGAAAAGGGTTGAGGGAGGAGGGGAGGGGGGAAGAAGGTAATAGGGGTGCAGTCACCACTTACAGCACTGCAACACCCAGGAGTCGCTGTTATTCTATTTTTTAACAGCTTCAGAGAGAAAACTAATACCATTTTTTAGCCAGTCAGACCTAGGTTCCTGTTCTGGTTCAATAACTACCTAGTCATATGACCTTGAAGAATTTTCTTAAATCTCTCTGAGCATCAATGTCTCCATCCACCAACTCTCACATCAAAACTCAAAGGTAACCTCTCTGGGCTCAGACTTAGTTTGCACTGACATGGCTAAATGCACCAAGGTCAGAATCATCAGTAAATGCAGGACCCATTACGGTGCCTCCCTCCAGAAAATAGTGAAGAAAACTGACATTAGCCAGCACGCCAAGTACACTGATTCCTTCTATGGCAAAACCAAGATGAAGAGACGAGCCGTGGGCATCTGGCACTGTGGTTCCTGCATGAAAATGGTAGCTGGTGGTGCCTGGACCTACAACACTTCTACCATCACAGTAAAGTCTGCCATCAGAAGACTGAAGGAATTGAAGGACCAGTGGACGCGCCACCATTTGAAACATTGCTAGCTTATAATAAAGTGGTTAATTTATGTAACAACAACAACAAAAAAAAACCTCAAAGGTAGATCTCTCCAGTCACCTATCATCCCCATACTCTCACCCCACTGCATCTCTGAATATCCAGCCTGGCACTGACTCTACCCCTCATCCTCCATCTATCCCTGCATCCAACTTCCCCCTAGGCCCTCTGAAATTCCCACTCGGGAGATCAGCACTCCCCTAATTCTTCCATCTCTCCTTAAGAACAATCCCCTAACTTCCTGCCTTAATAGAAACTCAGCCCCCCTCTGAGGACACTGCTTCTCCTGCAGGCCTAAGGAAAGGTGGCTGTTGCTTTATATGAACATGAATACTTTGGGGCCAGCTGGTAGAGGAGGTGTCTTCTGGACTCACTATTGCAAAACCAATTTCTCCCTCTTGTTAGAAAAGGGGGAAAAAAAGAGGGGGAAAAAACCCTGCTCTTTTTGAGGCTGCTGCTATGCCTGTCACCTATGAGTCATTTTTCCTGATTTATTGAAGCACTTGGCTCATAGCCTTACTTTCGACCCAACTGCTGCCATCATCAACCTGGGTAACTTTAGTCATAACCAGGCCCCTTCCAATACTTGGGCTTCCCACTTTCTCGACACCATCATCTCAGGGGAATCTCATTCCATGCAGCCACCTGCCCACCCATTGCTATGGTGACATCCATGATCAACATCTATAACTGCCTGGACTTCAGAAAGTAGTCTAAGGCATCCCTGTGAACTATCTTCAAGCTCATTTGTTCAAACTCATAAAGACTTCCAAAACACTCCACTCAGTTCTTTATTCCACAGACACCCTATTTCCTCCCTGTGCAGCTTACATTCCACCGTTAGTCATTGCAACGGATTACTTGCCTGTGTCACCAATCACTGATGGTTATAAGTCTTTTAACTGATAAAACACACTCTCTTGTTTCATAACCATTCAAAAATGTACAGCAGTTGAAACTATATGTAAACACTCTTTGCAGGGCTTCTCAATAACCTTACTAGATTTAATCACTCTCATTACCATTTGAGTCCAAGGTATCCCCAGCCCTGAGTGGAGGCAGCTGCACCATGCAGCAATCATCCTAGTTTAGTCTGACATCACTTCAGTGGCAATTTACCAGTGAAAGTCTTTGGTGTGCACATGTAAAGTTTTTCTATTTAATTTAATGTTCACCAACTTCTCACTAATGTAGATGTGTATGATTGTTCTTTACCAGGTAATACATCCCATATATTACCTTTATCCGATTGTGGAAACTCCTTTTTACTCCTAGTTTGATAAGTATTTTTATTATGAATGGGTTTTGACTTTTGTTAAATTATTTCTCTGCGTTGACTGAAATAAAAACATGAATTTTCCCTTTGAAAGAAAAAACAGGTAATACAATTATAAGGTTCCAAAATAAAACCATGTTATTTTGAGAGGTTGCCCTCCCACACTTGTCCTAGCCCCTACAGTCCCCTCACCACAAGGAACCACTTTATTAGTTTATCATGCATCATTTAGTTTCTTTATGCAAATACAAATATATATTATTTCCCTCCAGTTTCTCCCAAAGAAGGTAACGTACTATGTAGTCCTGTCAGCAGCTTGCTCTTTTCACTTAAATCCCAGAGACCTTTATAACAGTTTTCCATACAGTATAGTCTTTCCATATAATATTTTGATTTTTTTTAACTGCCAGGGTTCCTTTATATGCATAATACTCTATTTAACCAACTAATTATTGTCTTTTTCATCACTATCAATTATTTTCTTATTATCTGGTATTTGATGTTCTTCATTAGAGTATAATTAATTTTGTTCACTCTTCTTGTGTTGTCTGAAAAAAATGATTATTTGCTTTGGGTATTAACATAAGTGAAGTCCGATTCTTGATGAAGTTTTTAAAAATGTATTCAATTTTTTTTTCACTAAGCCCTACATAAGCAGGGTCACCATTAACATAGAATACAAGGCCACTGGGTTGCATAGTTCTCATTTAGTTTACCCTGCATGCTTTCCAAATGTTATCATTTTCTACTTGGATGATGGCAGGACAAAGGAGGGGAAGCACAGAACCAGATCTGCCCTAAAGCCCCTGCTTTCCTCTCATAGCATGTATCACATCTGTCTTCTCCCTCTAGGCTGTAAGCATCGTGGTACCAGGAGGGGGACTGATTTAGCACTCCTGAGACTTTCTAGTGCCTGGCACACAGGAAGTACTAACTAGCTATGCCTGGTCAGGCTGGGCCTTTGGTACACAAAGGTGAACCAGATGTGAGTGAGAAGTGAACAGTGTTAGTGGAAGAAACAGACCCAATCAGACAGTGTCAACAGCCCTGGTTCCTGTGGGTGCACAGACAAGTGGAAACCAAGGGAGGAGGTTAACAGGAGGGATTCCCAGAGGAAGTGATGTATAAGTTGAAATCTGAAAAACAAGCAAGAGTTATCCAGTTAAAGGAGGAGGAAAGGGAAAGAGTCCTGAAGGCAGAAAGAACAGTAATTTGTCCACATTGTCTGTTTCATAGGTAAGAAAAATCCAAAGCTCAAGAGAGGTCAGACAACAATTTAGTGGCAGAACAGTGTACACATTCTGTGAGGGGCTACATTCCAAAGAGAAATGAAATGAAGACTGAATCTTAGAAGCCAATCCTTATAGAGCACTTATTATGTGCCACGCATAGGTATCCTACCTATTTTAACTCATTAAATCCTCACAACAACACTGTAAGGCAAACACTGTATTAGTAGACACTATTATTACCCTCCTCACCACTCCCTTATTATTTTGTAGATAAGGAAGACTGAAGTTAAGTAACTTGTCCAAGGCCACACAACTAGTAAGTGGAAGAGCTGAGATTCAAACTCAGTCTGGTTCCACAATCCATGCTCTGAACCACTGGTACCAACTTAAAGGTACAACTCATAAAGAAAAATGCTAGAGTGTGCTAGAGTTATACAGGCAGTGTTGATATGGTATTTACTGCTATTCACCTCAGATCAAGACACTCAACCTTGCTGAGTCTCAGTTTCCTTATCTGTAAAATGGAATGGGGATAAGGGGAGCACTACCTCACAAGGAAGTTGGGAAGACAATACCATACGTAAAACACAGACTGAATAATCTGCCACATACTGGGCAATTTTTAAAAGCTGCCATGAAATACTATGAATATTCACTAAAGCTTACAATTGGAAAGGAGGGGTAAAAAAACTCACTCTGTCTAATTTTCATCATGATGACTAGATGGAAAGCAGGTAGGTTCAAATCTGCAGATTCTTTTCCTGTTGGAACGGGAGAAGAACCAATTTGAAGACAGAGGGGAACCACGAGGCCACAGGCCCCCTTCTCAGCCCCCTGAAGGCAAAACAAAATGTTAAAGAACATGATAAGGAAGCCATAACAACTAGAGGAACTAGAAGACAGGGCTATACTGGAGCTGAGGCCTGGTATGGCTGAGTATAATTAATAATAACAATAATAATAATAATAATAATAATAATAATAATAATAATAATAATAATATATTATAGGTAAGGCAGTGTCACACTACCCAAAGAGAGGCTAGTTCTAAACCTCTCTTCCCAGGTGGAGTCAGTGCCTCAGCGCATCAGATGGGCACTCAGTCCTCAATCCTCCACCCTGTAGTGTTATACCCCCTAGGTAAGCCACTAGCACTAAACCTTTCCACTCTGAGGGGAGGGAGGTTATGCAAGGACAATCTGTTTCTACATGGGATATTAACAGTACCTCTTTTCCCCAAATAGGGCGTTCTATGTCTCATCGACCCTGGAAGTGAGAAGGAGGAACATATCCTAGGAGTCTACCCTGGGGAAAAGGGATCTCAGAACAGAGCTTTTTATCTGTGTGTCTATGTGGACTAGGGTCAGTGCACAATCTTGGGGGAGAGGAAAAAAATCTGTGCCTGCATGTATGGTTGGGGCCTGTTCCTTGGTGACTGGGGTGGGGGGCAGGATGCCTTTTGTTGCTTTACTCTGGGATGTAGAGGAACTTGAGAAACCGGCAGGCACAGTGGCTGTGTGCATCTCTGTTGCATGGGAGGGGAGCACAGGTCTGTACGTCTCTAAGTTGTGCAGGGGTTGGGGGGTTCTGGGTCTCTTTACCCTTCCGGAGGGCCATGGGATGGGACTAATATGCCTGTCTCCATTACAAGGTGACATTAGTGCCACGATAACAAAGGCAGGAATTATGCAGCTTTGCATGAATGAGGTCTGCACATTGCCTGCAGAGGGCTATTCTAGACCCTTCCATGGGAAGTGGGATTTGTGTGATCTGTTTATCTTGTATATGGGTTGAAGTCAGCAGTGCACTAACACTGAAGGGAAAAGAACCTCTGGTTCTCTGTATTGGGGATGGGAGAATGCAGCTATAAATTCAACCCAACAGACGTGGGGTGGGGGTCTG